GCTTAGGTGAAAGTAAATTCTATGAAAAATAAATTAATAGTACTTCTTTCCAAGACAATCACTCTGATCTAATGATCCCCTGAGAAAATGGAGAATGCAAATCCATCAGTGGCAGTAAACTGGAAAGATTTCTAATGGGGAATGTCTTTGCATTCATTGGGATGAACACAGACTACTAGATCAGGCCAACGGCTCTAGGACTAGATAGATCTATTAGCACATGATAATTTCAATTGAAACAAGTACTTTATTTTTAAACTAATCTTTACTGTTAAAATATTGGAAAATATAAAGAATATATCACTGATAAGTACCAATGGCACTAAAAAATTAAATATTTTAAAACAGGATGGATAGAGCCATCAGTGGCATAATCTTGAAAATTGAACAACAGAATATTTCAGGTGCATGTGCATGTGTGTGTTCTTCTAAGAGCTCCAAGGACTGCAGCAAAGAATTACAGAGCTGGAAAAGAACACAGGGGGCATTGAACCCAACCCCCTGCCATTGTAGTAGTTACATAAATATGGATTTAGGTTGCATTTGCACTGCATAAATAATGCAGTTTGACACTGTTTTAAGTGCTATGGTTCAATGCTATGGAATTTTGGGAATTACAGTTTGTGAGCTTTTTAGCCTTCTCTGCCAGAGACTTCTAGTGCCACAACAAACTACAAATCCCAGAATTCTAAAGCATTGAGCCATGGCATTTAAAGTGGTGTCAAACTGTATTATTTCTACAGTGTAGATCAGCCTTTATCAGTGCTTGGGGAGTCCTTATGAAACCTTTCCAAAGAAACAGAATATCTAAATGCCGAACCATATTCAAATTAAATAATTCTTTTTCCAATTAAAAACTAGCATACTAAATATTAAGATCAGTCTCTCTTTCTGCTGTGCCAGTTTTCATATACACTTCATATGTGTTCTTTTTCCTATGAGGCTTTCACGTTAAGAGCCTGAGTGGTGGATGCAAGCTCAGAAACACTGTGCAATCTCATAATCATGAAACTCATGTAGTTTGACTGTCAGTTCTACAGATGTCAACTGTGGGATTTCAAAATGGATAGTTAAGAAGGGGGTGATGGCATCGCTATTAAGCAGCATCATTAACAGTAATCATAGAAGAGTACTGCTGTAGCTATGACCACAACTAGTGCAATATTTCTTCATCATCCCAAGTCTTCTATTAATTTACAACCATTTTAGGATATTGTCTGTATATCTTTTCCCCAGAGTAATCAATGCATTGCTGATGTCTGTAATTATGTCAGATGATGTAGTGCTTACCAGAAGTTTTATTTAAGACTGCCAATTTGCACAATCCTATTAAAAATTAACACTAAATCATTCCAGTAAGTGAACTCTTAAAGATTTAGCTGCTTTGCCACAGACCTTGCTAGAATACCTTAAAATGTAAAATATGAACTTACAAGATGTGGAAATAGGCAAACCTCAATTTTAATATGGAGAAAACTAAATGTTAACATTACAGAAATAAGAGTTTAGAAGGTTTAGAAAGTGTTTGGTTTCAAGAAGACATTGGTGTTATTAAGCAGTATTAAACAATGTATTGAAGAGTCTAATAATTGAACCCCTATATTCAAATATAATATAGTAAGGGATGTGGCTATATTGGTTCTCATTCCGCATGCAATGGAGTATAAAACAAAGCTCTTTTTCAAGAACTGTCACGCCTGCACAGCATTCTATTAACAGCAAGCATTTGGAAAGAGAGAAAGGTGTGGTTTCATTAGAAGATTGCAACATAAAATTGGCTGGGGCCAGAGGTCGGAGACTGCAATCTGAACCTGGGAGAGCTTGCTCATCTTTAACCCAGGCAGAAATCAGCAATCATAAGCAAAAGAGGGGAAACAGGTGGACAGACTTTATTCTACAGAGATAAGAATAAATTTAAATTTGCTAAGGACCAAGCTATGAATTAAAAGCTGTAATGATGTCTCATTTTAATCACATGATACAAATTCACAGTAAGAGATGTCTTAATTGGGCAAACATAGAACATAACACAGAATATACATGGTCAAATGCAGGATTCAAGTATGAGTATCTGCATATCTACTTTCCTGTGTACTATGGCTATGAATCTGCTTTCACCTTCAGTTTTGCATCCATTTGTCAGAGAGTAAACCTCAATGAAATGAATGAAATTTACTTCTGAGTAGAAATGTGTGGAAATGAACTCCTAACAATCCTGAAGACAGCAGAATCTCACATAGGACGGGATATGATTTCTACTTGTGGGCTTTTGAAAGAAATTAGAAGACTTGGGTGGTGATCTCAAGTCTCCTAATTTCTTTCAAAAGTAATTCAGAGATGTCCCTTCTCATAGGAACAAACCTGAACCACCACCACCACCCCCAATTTGCTTAGATTTAACTTTAAACAAAATTTGGTATTAACAGAGCCTTAGGGGGGAAGCAGATGGAGCAAAGGGCCATTTGGGGGGGCAAGGAAGGGGAGGGGCAGCTGCACTGTGGGCGCCCCAACCCCTTCCCGAAGGCATCATTGGAGCGCCAGCCCCTCTGCACGGCCAGCGCTCCGACGATGCTTTCCCACCACAGCATCCACACATGCTGCAGTGGAAGAGTTGCTGAAGGCGCGCCGCCAGCCTTTTGTGGCGCACCTTCAGCGACTTGTGGAAGGAGCAGTATTTTAGCGCTCCTTCCAGGGGTGGCAAAGCTGCGCTGCAGGGCTAAGGTGTGGGGATACCTCGGCCCTGTGGCGCAGCTTCCCTGGGCGGCCCAGGGCCACCTGTCTGCTTCCCCTGTTAGTGTGCACACACACACACATCACAAAACAAAGGACATTTTCACACACAGCTTTTTGAGGACGCTAGCCGGCCTCCCTCCGGCCCCACTCCGGCTCTTCTTCCAGCTTGTTCAGACGCACATCGCAGAAAACCCCGCCCCTTCCGGTGCCATCCCTGCGTACGTCCGGCTTCTAGCTCCGTGTGTTCACACGCATGGAGCCTTAAGTCCGGCGTCCTTCCGGCGTCCCTCCGGCTTCAGCACCTCCATCTCTGGCTTCTGCGGCGGAAAGGTAATTCCGACTTTTAAAAGGAATTAGCCTGCCGCCGCCGGAGCCATTCCGGAATGGGGCCGGCGGGAGGTAGGATTGCCTCCACCAGAGCCCCGTGTGAAAACGTCCAAAGCAGAGACAAAGCTGGAGAGTAGTGAATTTCTCTATGTTTTACTGCACATCTTTTCTTTCCATAGCAGATGGTTGTAAAAGTGTGTCTTTTTTCAAATGGATTTTTCCAGCTTTAAAAAAGACACACTTTTATGACTGTCTCCTGCAGGAAGAAAATGTAAATGCTACAGTATAATGCAGCATGACACGGAGAAAGGCCTGACTGTAAATAATGCTGACAGTGAAAAGCAGAACCACAGTGATGACTAGATCTACTCCGGAGAAAGGTCACTGATATTATTATAATTTTTTTAAAAAAAATTAGATTCCATACAAAATTATTATTCCTCATAAGGACTTTGCAAATTCTCCTTAATTTTTTTCTTCAGGCAAATATCGTCCCCTCTACTTATAAATTATCATCATGACTCTGCAACACATGAATGAAATTTCAAGTACCACTGGTCCCACAAAACACTGGGCAGATGTCTCTCATGGACCTAGCTGTGAACTTCATTTGTGCTCTAAAGTGTGCATGAACACCAGCAAAGGTCCCTGGGTCTGTCCTCAGAAGGAAACTTTGGGGTGAGGAACATAAAAGCTCACTTCAGAGAGTTGAGGTTTTCAAACCCACCACCCCCATTTCTGTTTCAGATTTAATTCCAAAAATTAGTGGTAGAGAAGTTGTCCCCAGGTGGGGAAAAGGAAGGGAGAATAGAAAAGAGGCTGCACTGTCAAAGCAGCTAGGGTGAATAATGGTCAGCATGGGTGGCATATGGACCTGTGCTCTTACCCAGCCATTTTGAGATGTGCTCTATTTCCTTCTCCCTTCTGAGTCCTCAGTGTCTCCAATGCTATGGAATAGTTAGAGAAAGAAAGAAGCAATCATCCTGAAAATGGCTGCTGAATAACAGCAGGCAGACTGGTCCTATTCTTCCCACCCATCCCCACTGAGACACAGACTGCCAGCAGTTCAGGCTGAGATGAAATGGGAAAATAAGGAAGCCAAAACCATAGCTTTGCTTGTTTGAACCAAATCTGGTGTGCACCATGGATGGCCTATCTATCTCTGTGCTTTACTGCATCATTTAAACTATTTTCATTCATTAAACAGATTGATGCATACAACAGAATGCTTCCAATGCTTCCTCCACTATAATGAGTATTTATTTTATTTATTTATTTGGAATATTTATAACCCACTCTTCATCTGCAGAGGCTCTCAGAGCATTTTATAAATTGTTAATTTGACAGTGCCCTGTCCTCAGGTTTACAGTATAAATAAGACAGGATACACAAGGCAAAGGGAATCACAGTGTGGTAGGGGGATTAACTTTAGCAGATACTGCCTTTTTTTCTCTCCCTCTAAGGCCAGTAGCAGTTGCCATGAAAAGAGGGCCTTGTATCTGCTTCTGGACCTAGGACTAATGGACCTGTGCCAGCCTCTTCTTCTCTTCCTCTAGATTAACAGTAGGTAACACTACTAATAAGTAAGTATATCACAGGAAAATAAGGGAATATGTTAACATTGGCCCTAAGCAGATGGGCGGCCATGGGCTGCCCCGAGAAGCCGCGGATTGGGGCTGAGGTAGCCGCACTCCTCAGCCCCAATTCACTTCTTTTAGGGCCCTGGAAGGCGCAGAAGGTGCGCCGCAAGAGGCGTTGTGCACCTCTTTGGCATCTCTTCCATTGCAGTGTGTCTGGATGCTGCAGCGGAAGGATTTCATCGGAGCGCCCGTCATGTGGAGCGACGGCCACTCCAATGACATGTTCGGGAAGGGGTTGGGGCCCTCCCCTTCCTTACCTACAAGATGGCACAAAGTGCTGTCTGCAAAGGGGGATAGTGAGCCAGCATGGTGTAGTGGTTTGAGCATTGGACTATGACTCTGAAGACCTGGGTTTGATTCCCTGCTTGGACATGGCAACCCACTGGGTGACCTTGGGAAGTCTCTCAGGCCCCAAAATCCCCATGATAAGTTCACATCGCAAGTCAGAAATGACTTAAAGACACACAACAACAACAACAGTAACAGTAACATATTACTATAGAAGTTGCCCAATTGCTTTCCTGTTATTCAAAATAAGTATCTGATTTTTTTAAAAAAATATTCATTTTTGATTTATTGATATTTATTTTATTTCTAGGCCACTTTTCTCCCAGAAAGGGACCCAAGGTGGCTCACAGATAAAAATGTTTTCAAACTTTACAATAAAAATTTACAAACAATTTAACATTTAGCTAAAAACAATATAAAATTACATAAAACAGAAGGGTCAAAACCATAATGAAAGCATGCCCATATAAAAGCCTCCCTAACATGATTATATGTTAAACTTGCTTGAATAAAAATTATTTGTTTGCTGGTGAAAGGAAAGCAGGCAGGGGACAGTCTAGCCTTCCATGGAAGGGAGTTTCAGAGATTGGGAGCAGCCACCAAGAAGATTCTCTTTGGTCTCCTCATCAAGTGAGCCTGTGATGTGGTGGGACTGAGAGAAAGCCTTCTGCCATAGATCTTAGGATCCTTACTGGTTCATATGAGGAGATACAGTCTTTCAGATAGTCTGGACTTAAGCAATGTAGAGTTTTATAGGTCATGACCAGCATGCTGAATTATGCCCAGAAACAAAATGGAAGCCAGAAGAGCTGTTTCAGCAAGGGAATTATATGGTCTCTATAAATTTATTTATTAATTTGACTTATGTTTTCCTCCCAGAACTAGTACTCCAAGTAGTCCTCAAGAAGATTAAAAATGTTTGTAAGATAAAAACAGGTACAGAAACAGCTAGACCAAAACCATTGTTAAACATTTAAACCAGAGGTAGGCAACCTTTTTGAGCGGGGGGCTGGTCCCCCGAAGTCATCCCTTCCACTGGGCCGAGGGGGGGGGAATGGCGGCACGTGTACTCATGCGTGTGTGTGCACCCCCGCGTGCATGACCCCCCTGCATGTGCGCCACTGCCACTGCCGCCACCACTGCCACCGCCACTGCCCACGCTGCCTATGCTGCCTCCACTCATGTTGCGGCCGCCATTTTGATTTCCAAAATGGCGGCCGCGACGCATTTGCGCATGTGCAGGAGTACTGCGCATGCGGAAAAGCGTTGCGGCCGCACAGCGATCAAAATGTGTGGCAGTGGTGGTGGCACGCTGCGGCGGCAGGGGTGTGCCTGGGCTGGTAAGTGCGGGGACCTGGGCCTGAACCAGCCTGTGGGCCGTAGGTTGCCGGTCCCTGGTTTAAACACTATAGAATTAAAGAGCAAGTTTAAACACATTAATGCAATAGCACCTGAATAAAATGTCTTTGCATGACTATAGATGGACAATAGGGAGAAAACCAGTTTAGCCATCCTTGGAAAGTCTGAGAACAGCTACCAAGGAAGTCCTTTGAAAATTCAACAACATGCATCTGTCAGAATATTGAACATATTTGGTAGAACTCTGATATGCACAGGGTATTCAATATCATCCTCAGTACTTTATTTTTTTAAAAAATAAAAAGTCCATTACAGGTTTTGGGGAGTTTATTTTGTTTTGGGGTTTGTTTGTTTTTTTGGGGGGTGGCACTCATCTTCTCTTACTTGTTCACAGAAAACAGGTGCATTATAAAAACTCACACCAGCTCTTATTGTTCCTCTAAAAAACTCACAATGTATACCATAGTTATCTAATTCACTAGTTTATTTGACATTTTACCTGCTACTGGAGATTATTAAGCTAAAAGTGTTAAACTGGGAATAACACTTGCAACATTTCTTCATAATCCATGCCTTCAGAGTTATACCATTATATACCCACTGGATGTATATTATCTTGACCATAAAAATAGTCTTTTAAAAGGGAATGTAGAAGATTAGTTTAAGTGAGTATTTTAACCAGTGATTTAGGGTAGGAATTAGATTGTCCTGGAAGTTAAATTAGATTCTATAAATGACATATAAAGTTCAATCAATGCATGAATGCGATTCATGAAAGGATGGAGAACCATATAGTCCAAATGTATGTAAAAAGAGATGCTTTAAAGTCAGGCAGAAATAATTACAGACCTCAGAAGTGAGTATGTCTTATTTAAGCTCAAGTTGCTGATAATATTCCAGCTTCCAAGTAAGCTAAACATTGCTGTTGACTGAAGCCATAATCCTCTGCATTTTTAATTGGGGGATGTCCCATTGGAAGTCTGCAGTCTGTATCAGTTTTTCTTCATGCCACTGCCCTTTCTGCTGAGTGCACCGCTGCCATGTTTAATACTGAAATTAAACTTTCAGGTTGCTACCACAATATATTTTTATTAGATTTAGTCAGCTGAAACAAAACCTAGACTCTATGTCCATCATGAAAAACAAGCCAGATCTTATTTATGTGTGCCGGGAAATGTTGTGCATTTCTTCCAGGAACACAAGAATGCCAGAGCAGCAGCAGCAAAAAGAAGAAAATAGCCACAGAGTGAAGTGTAGTAGAATGTCATTAAAGTACTGGAGAAAATTATACTGTTAGGCTCACATAATGTCAAATTTGAAAACATTGCAATACAGCATAATGCAATTTACTTTCATACAACAATCTTAATGCACATTATCGGGAAAAGGCTCTCCAGACAGAACCAGACAAGAACACTATTGAATTTGAAAGCAAATTGGAGGCCACTCTTCTTTTGATTCCTTCTCCTCCACCTCCTTCTTCTCCCCTTCTTTTATTAGAATACATCTCATGATTATTTCAAATGGACTAATTGTTTGAACTGTTCCCAGACAATAATAGATTATGTTCTGATTCATTTCTAAAAGTTGTGAAAAGGGGGATGGGGAGAAGGAATGCAGTAGGTGTGTGACTGGTAGTACTTGGTTTTTAAAAACAAAGAAAACCCTAAGCATATATGTATCTGTTTGATGACCAACCATGGAATAATGAGACCATACACAAAAATCTGGGTTAAATAGAGGTCACTATATTTGACCTATAACTATTTAATTTATGTTGTAGCTGGAAGGAGCAAGAGGGGTGAGCAACCTGAAGCAGGCCCAGCTGAGACCCAGACATCAACCCTTGACAATCCCCTCACTTGGGTAAAACATCTGAGCCCTGAGGGAAACCTAACAATTGGGTTGCTCAATGTACTGGAGGGTAAACGCAGGGCACTCCCAGCCAAGTTGCAGGATTCTGTAAGTGAAAGCAAACCCTCAGTCACCCTCAAGGGTAGACTCATTCACCATCACAGAGTCTCAAGACCTGTAGAGGCTGTTCCTGAGCCCTATCCTTCATCAAAAGGGTGCAAAATTTATATATTCTCCCCCCCTGCCATTGCCATTGACAGCCTATTATGAGGCACCAAACTGAGCTAAGATTTGTGCCCTCATAATAGGCTGTCACAGTATGGGGTGGGCAAAAATACTAAGGCAAAGAGGAGAAAATTCATACTCCACCCTGAAGCAACCAATAAAACTCATATTGCACTGGAGATGGGAGGGTGGGTCATGAAGCAAAAATGAAAAGCTGTGTGAAGGTGCAGTCTGGTCTTGAATAGTTTCTGGTTCTGCCCCTGTTATGTGTAGCATCTTGGCATGTAGCACCATACACTACAACTTCTGGTCCCTTTCCCTGAAGGCTATCAAATGTATACCTTCCATTGCAGCACTGTTCACTGCACAGGTCCAGGTCCATATAACAGTTGAATAGGCTAATATGAAAGATGAAGAACTGACCACTGTTGTATCACCAACCAAACTTTTGAAGATTGTCTCCTGTGCTTACTTCAGGATTAAACAGAAAGCTAGAAAATGTTTTTAAAATTATGTCAACATTGACCTAAGGGTATGTGTGTGTGCGTGTGCACCCACCCTGCCCATTGCCCACTGTACAACACAAAACATCTTCTGGCAGAACATGTCCACAAGTACACATGCACATGCATTCAAATAAGAAAACATATGCTTCCATGCTTTTTACTAGTGCTCTGTTCTCTTAGTTGAGGTTCCATTCTATGTAAAACTTTCTGAAGGTGAGTTATATTTGCCTTCTACTATGCAATTTCTTTATTTCAATGATTTCTGCTGTCTTCTCTGGTAGAGCAAGTATTTTAGCACTTTCCATCATTAATCTTTATTATTTGCATAGCACCAACTTTGCTGCATGACTTAACGAACATATTTTAATTAATTTTCCTCAGAAGAAAGCAATGAACCAAATTAGAAAGAACAAAATTTTAAAAAATATATTTTTCTGAATGTAAGTCTGTGCACATACACTATTGTGCATGCACATGCATACACACACATGTGCATGTGCACATGCACACACACACAAATACAATTTTTTTTTCTAAATAATACACTATTTTGATCTTGGTGAAAACCTATTTCAAAATTGAAGCCTTGTGAGGGTTTTTTTTTTTTAAAAAATGTAAACAGTGAAGGATACAGAAAGTGAGAATTGTGTCTTCCATTTGAACCCCTCTGCTCTTCACATAACTTATCAGAACTACCATTTGTGTTGGTGAAAAGTTTGTAAAAAGCTCGGTTCAGAATTCCATCTTTGATGGATAGTGCAGCATTGAGGAGAAGGAGACACCTGTTGAAGTTATGTCCCTAGCTTTACCCCTGGAGTAAGTCTTCCCTTGGAGCTCCAAAGATCCCTGTATCTTACATATAGCTCCTCTAGGCCTTCTCTGTTGGCTGGTCTGTCTGTCAACCAGTCATCAGAAGCCCAGTAGTCACAAGAAGAGGTACTGAGCCTGAGTTCTCTGAGTTCACTTGCAAAGCCACACTGACCTCTTCTCCTCCCTCTACTTGTTTTTCCCTCTCCCACCTGCTGGTTAGCTTTTCCAAGGAAGCCTGCTACAGCCAGGTATGGAAATTTCAAACAGATGAGTTGTTTGTTTGCTTGCTTGTTTCCTTGGCACTGCTATCCCTACTAGTTTCTCCTGATT